CTACCCCCCCCCCTTCGCACATTACTGATATATATGTATATATTATATGTATATATTATACATATATATATGTATATATATTATATATATATATATATATATTTCTTTTTTCAGTTTCACGCTTTTATTGGAATTTTCGTGATCACAGTCTTTGTAGCACAGTCATACGCTCTCCTTTGAATCATCCATCGTTATTATCGAGAAATTAATTTTTAGCCTCAAGAAAATAAGACTAACATCAATCTTGAACCAAATGTGCCACAGGGGGAATTCTCTGTATGCGCCGATAACGAAATCCAAAAGTCGTAATAAAATGTAAATATAATTTCGAATGACGTGATAAGTTTGTATAATGACTTTGTTAAAGCGACCAAGACAACAAATGACAAACGAAGCTGTTTCATATCGTATCATATGGCGACCTCACGAAAGATGAAAGCTAATGGCAAATAACGGTCCAAGAGCCGTAGTTCTGAATTGAACTGCAGCCCTTAGACACTGGCCCAAATCAATGCTCATGCGACTGTCCACTCTAAACAACCGAAAACACCCTGCATGCATATTTTAAAAAAAGTGTCTGACTTCTGCAATATAAACTATCAAAATTTTATAGATAACTCTTATCAATACAAAATATATATTTTGTACATGTAGATAAGTGAATATGGTTATCGATCTACTGCGAAATATTGATCAAATCAATTTATAACGGTTATCATTACAACCAATTATCTGGCTACTGTTTTATCAGATTAAAGTGCTGTTTCATGTTGTTTCTCGACATTTCTCGCCACATAAAATGAAAACTTCGACGACAATAGATTTAGTTGTGTTTTGAAGATCAAAATGGCTGAAACTCGTGCACGTTTTCTAAAGTGGGAGAAATGTATGGTACTTGTGCTTGTGATCTGTATTAAATGTGACAACGCAAGCTCACAAACGAATGAAATAAATGTCGATTACTTTGATTTCGAGCACATTAAAAATGAGTTTTTTACTCAAAGTGATTTTAACGAATCAAACTTTGAACGCGGTTTTGATGCCGAAAAAGCTATAAAACATCTAAAGTGTCTGAAACAATTGGCAGAAATTCAAGGCGGACTATTGAAAAACGATCCATGGGCTATGAAAAGTAAATTATTTCATTAAAAATGAAGTGAATACTAATTAATTATATTTTAGTTTTGGACTCATGGGGAAAAATTCCAAGCGGTATCTTTAATGGAAATTTATTCGAATTCGGTGAATTTTCTGAATGTTTGAATATCGAGAGAAATGGCAAGCAATTTAAAACGCAATACTGCTTGGGACAGCTATTTTTCGATGCACCAAGTAAAACAAGTAAAATGTCATCATTTAATTCACATGATAAAATGAGAAACTTTTATATACCCGGAGTTGGGCTGATGGAAGAAAAGCGAAAAATTGAACAACGCATGATGTTAAGGCCGTAAGAATGGTATTGGATTTCGAAATAAGTCGATAACTAAAGGAAGTAATTTCAATTTTAGTGATCCGAAAAAATTGTCATTATCGTTTGGTTTGTGCGTCCCGGACATGTGTTCTCTTCATTTACTTGAGCCAATTATCAACGATAAGATTTTAAAAAATGGAAGTAAAGTGTCTGTAAAGTTTTCTCAAGCTACGTGCCAATTTGAAGAATCACCATCTAATTTGACGATTATTGATAATTACACAATGTATGTATGACGTCAGTGGTCTGTCACAGTGAAATATTTTAAATTAATTGATATAATTGTTTCTTGTTATGTGGTCAAGAGTTTTATTGGCACTGATTTTGTTTCTGGTAGTGGCGAGCACCTGTTACGATGTTATATGCACAATTACTAGTAATCGTATGTCTCAACAAGATTCATTATCTTTTGTATAAGTTTAATATTTGATCTTTTTGGCAAGCATTTGTTTATCTGTTCAATTACTTTCAGGCCCAAAGTCCCAAGCACTTTTGACATTTTCATTTTATTCAAATGGCCTGAAATTGCTTTCTTATAAAAAGACCAAGTCACCAGACATGATGCACTGTTTACATGGAATACGAGTAATATCAACGCAATGGGTCGTACTTGGACACACGTTCATAATGTATGTACTGCTACCGATTCGAAATAAGCTTGCGATCGCTACGGTAAGCTCCCTCAACGAATTTTAATTTGAAATACTCAAATGAAAAATGAATTTTCAGTTTATTCAACAATACCACAATATGGTTATTTTATCTGCTGTGATTGCGGTTGATACATTTTTCTTCATGAGTGGATTATTGGTTTCAATCAATATGCTAAAACATCTTGAGAAAACGTAACAGTTTTTCGCTTTTGTTTCTTTTCTTCATATTCGAGATTGAATTTATGATTTTTTTACAGAAAAGGAAAAATAAATATTCCACTTTTATATTTCCATCGCTATTTGCGGCTGACACCACTCTTGGGTGTTTCATTCCTATTTACTATGTCTTTGCTGAAGTTTTTTGGAAGTGGCCCTCTTTGGCCTATGTTGATTGATATTAGTAGTTCCCAATGTTCCATTTATTGGTGGTCAACGTTATTGTATGTTCAAAACTACGTTAATCCAAACAAAATTGTGAGTAATGACAATTCATATCCATTCAATGAAACTTATATTCAATTTACTAATTCCTTTTTACATAGTGTTTTGCTCACTCGTGGTATTTATCAGTAGATATGCAGCTCTTTGTGATTTCGCCGGCAATCGTATACTTGATCTACAAATTAAAAATCAAAGCAATGCCGATCTTATCACTTCTAGTCTTAGGTTGTATTGGATGTACAATTGAGGTTCATCGGAGATTAAATTTGAAAAGTGGGTATGTACTTATGAATGCCGAGGCAATGAATTCAATGATGCACTTCCAGAATTTTGAATGAATCGAAACTAATAAAATAACATTTAAAGCCTCACCATCCAGGACAAGTTGTATTTCCCTACGCACATTCGATTTTCACCGTGGTTGATCGGAGTTATGTTCGGATACATGTTGCTTGAAACCAGGAAAAGACCAATACGTATTCCACAAGTAAGCAAATGAATTCACGCCACTCTCAACTGTATTTATTTTTCAACAAACTGTTTTTGTATTCTATTTGATGTAGTTATTCAATCTCTTCGCATGGATCGTGTCTCTTGCTTTAATGGCGGCTGTAATTTTTGTAAATTATCCATTGCAACAATTAGACTCAGAAGCGACCCCACTAGAATATGGGCTGTATGATGCATTGAGTCGTGTTGTATGGTCGATTGCATTGTGTTACGTTGTATTTGCATGTGTGAATAATTGCGGTGGTCCCATCAACTGGTTTTTGGGGCATCCTTTATGGCAACCGCTTTCAAGACTGTGCTATTCAATCTATATAGTGCATTTCCCGGTGATTATGGTTATGATGGCCTCAATCAAAACTTCACCTTATTTTTCGGAACTAACTGCGGTATTTGAAAAAACCCAGTCATATATTGAAAATTATTTTTATGAAAATATATTTTTTTTTTCAGTTTCATGCCTTCATTGGAAATTTCGTGATTTCAGTCTTTGTGGCGATAATTGCTACGCTCACCTTTGAATCACCCATCGTAATTATCGAGAAATTGATTTTTGGCCCAGCGAAGCCGCCTCAGGATAATAGGAATAACACTAATCTTGAACCAAGTGCGCCACAAAATAATCTTGAAGAACGAAAATAAATCCATTCATTCTTCATAAATACGTGTATGTTACATATATGAATAGATGTGTCTAAAAATTGTGTTAAATAAAAATATCAAGTTTCGTTTCAAAAGTAATTCATTGATGAAATGTGTCCGTAAGAATAAATATGGCAATACAAAAACGGAATCTGAAGAACGTTACATAATTTTTTTTTGTATGGAGTGGTACTATGTAAAAAAAATATTATGTAACGTTCTTCAGATTTCGTTTTTGTAATGCCATATTTATTCTTACGGACACAAATGTGGTGTTGCATTTTGGAACGTGGCTATTTCGATAGCTGCATTGTGCACTTTAATTGCTGCGCATTTTGTGATTGATAGTAGAAAGTATTTGTAAATATTTGATCAGACTGAGTGGTTGGATAATTATTCCTGTGAATAACGCTTTAAGTGAGAAATCTCAAGCATTCTTGGCATTTTGATTTTATTTGAATGGATTTTTTTTATAAGGAGACAAAGTTATTGATTCACAACATATTATTAAAAACTGATAAAGAAGTTGTACAAAATTAAACAAATTTGTAATGAGATAGAGGACCTTTGAAATTCCACAAAACTACAACGCAATTCCCAGGCTCATAATTGGAAACAATTACTGTAATATAAACCTATCTAAAATAAACTATATTGGATTACTAATCACTTCAAAATCACTGTGTTATCATCAACATTCGATCGAGTACATCGTACACAAGATTAAGAAAGCGTCCATTTTGCAGATGAATGAAATCAATAAAAAAATTGAAAATCTTAAATTGTAGTACGAGTATTGTCCAAAGACTCTGGTGAATGAATATAATTCATAAGTCTTAAAAGAAATGCTTCCTAAGCCAGACTTAAATTATCAAATGATACAAACAGTTCAAACACTTATCGTATATTTGGTCAATAGATTTATTTGAACCAATTTTTGTAAACAATTGACCATGCGCTTATGAATTTTGTGCATTTTATCAACTGAATTTTATCATGATGACTTGTATAAATTCGAATATTGTGTAAGTTCAATGTTATTTGAATTCAAGTGGAACTTTATCTTCAAATGAAGTTACAGACCTTTTGAAAAATGTCAACAAACCAGTGAAAATGGTCAATTAGCAGTAACATTTCGACAATCTAATTCTTATATATTTTCAAGCCTTATTTTAGAAACCCCCAGGTAAGCACAATTCATAATATTTGGAAACTTTTATCAGCCTCGCACTTCTATGGATCTTTTCAAGCATGTAAATGTAAACAAAACTGTGATCATTTAAATCTTCAAAACAATAGATGCAAATTCAAATAAAACCTTTTAAAGTCATTTTGTTGGAAGTATCTGTTGTCTCTGTCTCGACTGGAATTTATCGCACCATTCCAGAAAACAATTGAGAGACAAATTATAGATGGAAAGAAATGAAATGCGCATGTCAACAAACAGCAAGTGTCCCATAAATTATTCCAAATTGAACGAAATAAAAAGAAAACATATACAATACACAACAAAATACAAAACAAGTTGTTTCAGTGTTAACATTGGATGGATAACTGAACCGAAGTAAGGCGAATCGCATACGTTTCTTATGTGTGGGTTATTATGGTTGTATATAATTGCATATGTTTATGTGTGTTTTGGTAAAGCTCAAACATACAACACACACTAGTTGAACAGTTGTGTGAAATGTACATTGTTTAACATCAATCCATAACCACACCGTCAACGAGACGCGAACGTGTACAGAGAGCGAGCGACTCATAGAGAGAGACAGTAGACGTTGAATTAGCTTTTGAGAATCTATATTTTGTATGTTAAGGCAAACAGAAGCATCACTTGAAACTACATACGGTGCAAAGTATCATCTTTGCACTCCAACATTTCTTAGTTACTCTCACTGGAAGTTGATATTGGACCTTCCATTTCAGTTGCATCGAAAGCCGTTACGAGTGATAACAGATATATTCACATGTATATATGTGTATGAGTGTGAAAAAGCTTTTTCGGCCGTTCGTAGCTTTTTGTTCGTGTATTTCTTTCCGTTTCTCTCAAGCAAATATCCAACCAATTCGTGCTATCACATACGCGCAAATCATAATTTCCAGTCATCGTTTTGCGTAGGTTTGTGTTCGTTCGTTCGTTCGTTACTCGCTTTCATCCACCGTGTATTTGAACACTCGGCTGGATATTCTTTCGTGTGTTTCTTTTTTTATTTTGTTGGAATAACCGTGCTTATCTCGTAGAACATAGCAATCAGTGTGCTTTACTTCGTCCAATGTAATGGTACAGATTGTGTTTTTGTGCGCGCCGCGTGAACTTAAAATTGCTCTCCAAGTGGTGGCGGTTTTGTGAAAGAGGAAAGTAAAAAAAGGGAAATACACAAGTAAAATCAAACGGGAATCAAAGGAAATTAACTCTGAAGCTGTTCAATTTTGAACTGTTCGTTTGAAGTTCGAGCTATTCGATTTGCCATTTCGAATTTCTCAACTTTTCAATCATCACATTGGTTTTCATTGGGATTCGTCGAGTTACTGCCTCCCCCATTCAATCGATGAGCGAATTTTCGTGAGAAAGAAAATCAAATGTGTCTCATAAAATACATTATTCCTTGTATTAAATTAAATAAAGTGATGATAAAGAAGTTAGAAGTAGCAACAGTAACAGCAAGAGTAGCAGTAATGGTATATAATAGCAGCTGCAACCATCTGCTGAAGTATCTAACGTTCAACACAGAAAATGTTGTTTAATTCATATTTTCATTTATCAAAAGTGACATGGTATTGTGTGCACTGCGAATCGAATGTTGACTGGAAAAAGAAATATAAAAAGCATTTATTATTTGTAGACTAATGAGAGAGGGAAAGAAAGCGTGCGCGACTCAAAATAAAAATTCATATTTCTAGTCGAAAAAATCTTTTTGCTCGAATTTCTGTGAAACAAAAAACGCATATCGTCTTTTTTTCGGTGAAAGAAAAAGTTTTTTTTATCGGTTAGAGTGACGTGATTTTTTTTGCTCCCAAAAGTGAGTATGCTCACGATACGATGACTGAACAAAGCAAATCAAAATTCGTGGCAGGCATAAAATGGTGATGAAATTGATGAGAAATTCATGGAATTGAGAACGGGAAAAAAATGTGAATAAATTGGTGCACACGAACATTAAATGGAAGAAGACATCAAACACACACTTACTACAAATACAATATATAGGGCCGACAAAAAAAAGCATAAACACCAACACGGATTGTGCATGTGAAACTCGAATCATTATCATCATATATTGAATTGAACAAATAAAATACGTGTTCAATTGAGTTAGTCAATACACAAATCAACAGATTCTTCACCCTGTCTACAAGCAGCCACCAAAGTTATTTGCGAATGGTAGCATAAAATTAAACGGACCACTTTGTTGTTCCATCCAGCAGATGATGATACGTTGCAAACAACCAAGTGTTTTGCACTCACATTTGTAAATACAATTAATGAAAATAGAAAAGTAAGCGACGGTAATATCTCCATCCAACAAGTATTGAATTGGTACGAATTGAATTGGCTCACTTGTGCGAAGACGAAGATAACAACATTCATATACACTATAACAAAGACGAACAAAAAGCCAGACACCGGGCAAGCCAAATACAAAACTCTAGAGCAAAAATATATCAGCAATTAAGTGCAATAGAAAAATGTTTACTAAACAACCCACTATGGATATGGATATTGAATTCGACATTAAGCTACTGGCAACAGAATACTATGAAGGAACGGTACGTATATTATATTCCACGAACACTTGAACTCTATAATATGTATTCTTAATAATAATATCTTTCTATATGTATAAAAAGAAGGTGATGGAAAAGAAAAATTCCCATAATTCCGTCGGAATGTTCATTTTTATTGAATTTATCATGTAGTTGAACTCTTGCGCGTTGCAATTTGAAGAGCAGCATTCCGATTGAGATTCGTGAGATGATTTCAAACCCGATTGCATGGGGGAAAAAGTTTCAATTTCGAATTCTTGTCTCTCTTTTGCTTTTCTGTGAGTTTGGCAAGGATTGGTGCTCGTTAGACTGAATGGTGGCAATGAAATAAGCAAATAAACAACGATCCAGAAAAAAACGTGTGAAAATGAATGAAATGAAAATGCTTATTGGAATGTGTACTTTTTCATATTTTTTTAGCATATATATCTTCCCTGGCACGAAAAAGTATAAGTGAGTAAAATTCGATTTTCTGTTCTTCTCGTTTGCCCTTTATTGCATTTGATAAAAATTCGGTTGAAAATGTCTGTTACGTATTTGGTGTATGAATTTCTTTTTTGGTATTCACAGTCGCATTGGCTAAAAATTGAGATTTATTATTGTCATTCTTATCGTTTGCAAGACGACGATCTATGTAGGTTGTGGTCGAATGGAAGTATGGGGCGGGTGTTGAGAGGAAGGTAAATGAATAAATCATATACGGAGAAGTAATATGAAATCCAATATAAATCTTGTATCTGATATGTATTGTGATCGGTTGAGTGGAATTAGAGAAGGGAGATGGGAATGAGAAGAAAAAGTGGCAAAATTGATAAAATGATGAAATGTAATGGATAGAAAAAAATATACCCGTAAGTAAAAGACAATTTACCTTGAAGCTAACTACAATGCTACCGAACAGATCTAAGCAGAAAAAAATGAGAATTCGTCATCCAAATCAAATGAATGAGTCGTCACATACACAAAACAAGTGTGTTGAAATGGCAAACATCCAATCAAAATGTCATTATCAAAACAAAAACCAGACCCCATCGTCAAATGCACGACAATGATTGATCGATTGTCAACGGCAATTTTTTTCTATCTCTCTTTCGATTGTTTCGTATCTTTCGTCCGTTCTGTCCACTGCACTTTCATAGAGACCGGCCATTATTTGTTTACCTAACAAACGCAGCTCGTTTTGGTCGGCAGCATAATCAAATCGAAATTAATAAGTAGCCACAATATTACAGCTCACACACACACGCATGCCAACACATAATAATCGATTCAATCGATCCATGTTCTAAACCTATGAATTAGTATTCAATTATCAGCGAATCGGTCGCTTTCCCACTACCAATCAACACACAATAGAAATACCAACAAACAAATTATAATGTACAAAAGTTGTGCAAATAGCATAACAACACCAAAAAAAACATGGTCAATTTACACAAACCGATTGAATTGAAAGTTTTTCCAACTTCTCTTTTTCCCATTTATGAACTGGTCTGTATTATGTTGTAACCAAAAACAATTTCAAGTTGTTACTATTGTATCCATTGTTTTAGAGAAAGTGGATCCAAAAACGTGCCAATAAAAAGCTACTATTCTTCATTTGTACACATAACAAATGAATAAAAAAGGGAGAGGTTAAAACAATTTAGTGTGTGTGAGAAAAGGGCAAATGACACATATTAAACTTATTTTGGACCCTTTCTTTGAAAAGTATCACACTGAAAAACCAGAGCCATTCTATATCCGTGATTACAGCACATTTGTGTGCATACAATACGCACATACATTCCATTGTACCAGGAAATTTAAAATTGTGGTAAAAGGGTGTTCTCTCTCTCTCTTTCTCTCTCTCTCTCTCTCTCTCTCTCTCTGTCAGAAAACAATTACACATCATAAAACAAAACGTAAATATAAAAGTTGCAGTGCGGTTCACATGTCTCTTTATTGTCTTCTTTTACAACGATGACAATTTCAAGTCATAACGAAAGTCATACAATCATACATAAAACGATACATACAGGAGATACAATTGCGCATGAAAAATGAGAAAAGGAGACAGAGCAGGAAAAAACGGGTCGTTTTGGTTATGAAACACTCATATCAGAACGGGTATATGTTTTGTATGAATGAATTTATGCTTGGCATTGACAAAATGCTCAACATGCAACCGCACAGAGTTGCGGGAAAACACAATTCTCAATGGAAACAACTATATATGTATAATGACTGTCGTTCGTTTGCATACCGCTTGTTGTTTTGGTTGTGTCTTTGTACGATGAAAAATTATTTGCAAATTTGGAGAGCAACAGTAAATGAAACAACAAAAACACCAGCAGAAAATTACATTTTATATACATAAACAAGAAAAAAAATCTATGTAAATATTGTGCTCAAATATGGAAGAAAAATTGGATATAAATATATCATTCAGTGGTTTTTTTTAGATGTTAATGTCGATGTCGATAGAGATGGAGAGAGAGTGCTGCTTTTTCAAAAGTCCTTTTTTTCCCATCCGGTTCAACTTCAATGAAATATGTTTATTTGAAGAAAGAATGAGCAAGAAAGCTACAGATTTTCTTGGAAGAGTCAGTCATAAATTATCTGAAGTTGTTCGTTCTTAAGTAATAGATAAATAGAAAAAGAGAGTCGCCCATTCAATCACATTTCAAAAGAGATTGTTTCTCGATTTCTCGACTTTTAGCCACACACATTATGTGGTTGATATGCATACATACACAATAACTTATTCAATACACTTAATACACACTTCACATATGCTCCATATGTAAATACACGAAGAAAACTACATTCAAAGGGGGATAGAGAGTGTGTATGGTTTCTTTTTTTATTTCTAATAGCTTTCTATAGACATCAACACAAAAACGAATGCGCCAAATCATGTGCCATTGTGTGTTGACGCAACATTACAATGCAATTTTCGTTTTCGGGATCCAAGTGATATCGCGTTGTTAAATTACAATATTTTCCCATCCCTTTTTTTGTACGTTCAGTTGTTGACGCAAAACTTTTGTAATATATTAATGAAAGTCAACATATGTACGCAGAAATGTTTAACTTGGTTATTTTTGTACCATCATTGTTGTTACATGTATTGGTTTTGTGCTTTAAAAGCCAAACATAAACCGAATTAATAAATTACCATAAAATGTTTTTCACTATTTTCCACCATTTACAAGCTTCACAAAAGAATTGCGGTAAAAATGTGGAAAAATACTATTAAAAAACCACTACCACCGACACCGAGTGTGTGAAACAGTTCAAAGTGAAATTGATCGCAGATAGTTGGAAAAAAAGTTGCAAACTTGGCAATTGATGCGTTGCATTTTATGGAAGTTTCTGTTGTATATGTTAGTGGTTGTATGTATGTATGACGACCGTCTTTCTGTTCATCGTTGAAAATATACGAGTGTTATACATGCAACAAGAGAAAAAAAAACGCGATACATTTTCTGGATGAAATTTAATTCACTGGTGTTGAATTCCATACACATATATGAGAAGGGAGCCGTTTTGCTGGTATAGAATCGTTGCCTACTATACTATTGTTTGTTCGGCTGTTTAGTTCAACTTTTTTTTTTAAAAGAAGAAGAAACACAACAATATGTATAGTCACGAACATTCATGTATAATGTATACAAAGTTCAAAAAATGGTACAGTGTAAAAAGGTAGTTTTTTAAGCACACCATCATTTCTTGTGAAAATACAACATAGTCAAGGGAAAGAGATGGAAAGAGATAGAGAGAAGGAGAATAAACAACAAAAAGTCAAACAGCTAATCACTATAAAATATAACATAAAAATGTGTGAGCACGCTGTTGTTTCTGCGTTTGGCCAAGTCAATGTTATTGAAAAAGGGTCTCTAAATTTAATAAGCGGAACTTGCATATGTCTAAACATTCACCACCTCCATCCAACAAATACATCAACATACGCATGGCCTATCCGCTCTGAGGTCTTTTCTTTTTACCGCAGGTCGTACCACTGCCACGATTGGGCATTGTTTGTATCAAACGAAGCAGACGCTTTTTTTTTGCATGCTATAAATATGAATAATCTCATGGAAATGGATGCGCGTTTCAAAGAGTCAAAACCCCAAGCTATAAGACCCATATTGCATATCCGATGGATTCCCTCCTCCCTACATTCACATAAACTCAGATGTGAACTTCATGACATGACACGACACTGACAAAATTTCGTTTACATTTCTCCTGCTCCCTTCAACACTCTTGCTCTTTAACTAACTGTGCCCGTTGCCTCCAATGAAATGCGAAATATAAATGGTCACATAGACGGCGGCTATATCACAGTGAATATGTAGGATTTTAGTTTTAGTTGCCAATTCTACGAACACTTCACACATACACGCCAAAGCACAATACACACTTAACTGAAAATTGGATCGATTTGAACAAATTGAACCCTTCACGCAAATAAACCATTGATTCTATGTCTAATGAATCAAACCTCTTACCAACAATGTATATAGATATATTTTCGAATGACGGTTTGTCAACGTTCTGTCGAAGAGTCCCGAAAGACACTCTTCGGCTAAAACTCATTTAATAATTCAAGAGTTTTTGGCTCAACTACTTTTAACGAACTTTTAGGCTCTGCGCTTGAAATATGCAGAATGTTGAATATACTATACCGCAGATACTTTAATGCGGTTGGTTAATTATTAATAAATGTCGTGTTACGATCAACTTTACCACTGACACACAGACTCGATAAGTTTGCAAAATATACAATCTATAGAGGATGTATAGCATATATGTTTGTGTGTGTGTGTGTGTGCCGAGAGTCAAATGCAGAGCACAACAACAAAACATATACGACACGATGATAGCTGCCTGTTTCACAAATATAGCTTTTGCTCGAAACACATCCCAATGACAACCAGCGTTTGCCAGAATAAATGTTTACTGAATTGTAAAAATCCATATAAGCATGCGAGTTTCGCATATGTGCGAGAATGAGC